GAAGGTAGGTGAACAGAATGTAAATGTGGGGTTCTGCTTTATCCTGCTCAGAAACATTAAATGGAAACCTAATTCTACAAACTGGCAATCTAGTAAGTGTTTAGAGTAATTATATGTCAGCCATGTTTGTAATGATCAGGTCCTTGCAGTACACAGTGACACTGACTGATCACAGTATATGAACAGATTCAATAACACCCCCTTCCCAGGAGCGACCCCCTACCCCACTCACAGAGTCATTTTGGGGCTCCACTTGACTTCCACCCCGACTAGCTTCCCCCAGAAGAACATCTGATTGAACTGCAGGAACAGGGCATGGACATCCGGGCTGGGGTCCAGCAGCTCCCACGAAGGGTCCACTATGGAGAGATCTTTGGGGCGATTTACAGCCCCGACTTCGACCACCTCCTGAGGAGAGCGCCATGTCTGTCCCTCCGCTTCCTGATTGTACTGCTCCTGTAAACGGATAGCCAGCAGCAGATCATCATCCATAGTTTAGCAACCAGTTCTCATCCAATAGCGGAACCCGGAAGTGATGTCAGCGAAGGAATAGGAAGTGGGCGGTGCATACACGGAATAAACAAAGACCTTGTTCTATCGAAAGTTCCAACTCGTCGAGATCTCCAACGACCTGACTTCCGGTTTAGTTAGTAGGCTGCGTACGCGTCTCTGTGCGCAATCCCGCCGCCTAAAGTGCGCTGAATGAATGTGATCATCGATTTGTTTGTGCTTTTCGTCCTTCTAATCCCAGGACAGTGTGCATGAATAAAGCATGGAGTTTCTTGTATATCGGCACTCATTACATTGAAATGCATTAATAAAAATATTAAAGTGTAAGTTTATGTAGTTTAACCAGTTGACATCCGCGGTGTTAAACCCCCTTCCCATCCAGGCCATTTTTCAGTATTCAGCGCTGCGGTACTTTGACTGACATTTATTCCGTCATGCAGCGCTGTACTGAAATGAATCTGCCCGTGCGTGCCCGCTAGGGGGCGCGCACGAGCAGAAAAAAAATGCCGTCTGGTGACGGCAACCCGCCAATGCGACAGTGCCGTCCGTCCGTTTTTCTACTACGGGCGGACGGCAACTGGTTAAATAAACTATACTGTACATCTTGCTTTGTGTGCAAGGACACAAGGGGTGGACAGTGCCAATATTCTATTAGAATTCTGAACCTGTTTATAATCCGGACCTGCATGTCACTTCCAGGGGTGTTGGTTAGGCGTCAGGGAGGGACGTCGGCTATATCAGCTACCTCAAAAAGCTGATCGGATCTAGAATTTTAACAGGCATGTGAAGCGCCTACGGTCACATAACACATAAGAAAAGAAATAGCCTGTGACAATTCTGGACCCGATCAGTTGTTCTGCACTTGCACATTGAGCCGACACCGTCTGAGACTGCGTCAGCAGAAGTCACGCAGGCTAGACTTTTAATGAAGTCCAGAGGCCTGTTCAGTTCCTTAGCCAAGCGCTAAGTAGCTTTTCTTCAGCACTTCAGTTTGCTGCAGGAGTTTCACTGAACGTTTCGGCTGCAGAGTGCTAAGCAAAATGGCAGGGGATAATATTTTTGACTAATAAATACAATTTTCCAATGACTATTTGGTGTGTTCGTCCAACAAAACATTCAATTGTAGGTTCCCACACTGAAATGATTTCTTCCATTGAGTTTGGGCACCTTTCTCCAGCGCTGCCAGGTGTGCCCACAGTTAAAATGACTGCTGGTGCTCTGTCCCACCTTCTCCGTCAAACTCAGCACTCTGCATCCACATTCACTTCCGCAGCAAGTGCTAAGTTAGCAGTGCTGGGCGCTGACTTCGAGCACAGCGTTCAGTGGCAGTTTGCTAACTCAGCGCTCGCAGCGGCTGAGCAACTGAACACGCCTCAGCAATCTGTTAAAACTCCGGCCCTCCAGCTGTTGTTGAACTACAAGTCCCATGAGGCATTGCAAGACTGACAGTTACAGGCATGACTCCCAGAGGCAGATATAAAAGTAGAAAGTGCAGATGTGCCTAGCATAAGGAAGGATATTGAGAGCACGGACTAATGTAAATGAGGTCGCTTTTACCCAGATGTCCACAGTGGAGGAGTCTGTGTGCTGCCATGAGATTTGTGGGATGGACTACCTGCTTAATGAAGACTATGGCACTGGGGGTGTGTTAGGGGTTTGTCCTTTGTCTACATACATTGTGCTAAAAGATGTCTACCTTTCGTGTCTAATGAGATGTATGACTTTGGCAGTTTTCAAATGCCAACCAGCACTTAGGGGTACTGTTGCCTGACTCCCTGAGGATGTGATAGCTTCACGGCAGCACCACACGTAATGTCCAGTATAAAACTAGTGCGTACACTTTAACCTTATTTTCCTAACTTTTGTAGAGGAAGTGCAGGACCCCAAACCCTAAAAAACATTTTGTGTCTATGTGCATAGGTTGGACTTGATGGACTTATGTCTTTATTCAACCTCAAATACTATGTAACTATGCATAGATTGACAGCACCATTTACATTGAGCTACTGTATATCAGAGGAATCTTCTGCAGCATGATTGGAACAGTTTTTTGTCCTGGCTCAGACCTGCGTAGATTCGACATGCTATCGAGTATATGTGGTCACACACGTGTCCTATTTTACAATACACACGTGTACCTGATTTAGAGGCATGGAGACCCCCTAAAATGTGAGTGCTTTTCATGGCAAGATATTGTTTTGCTGATCTCATGTGTGTTGAGGTGATTTCTATAGAACGAGTTCTGTCTGCAGCCAAAGTTCACATATGTGCAACATGCTGTTCAAGTCCTGGGATCACACTGTCCAAAGTTCCCCAGCAATAATGATAAAACCATAAACCCCTTCATATTACTCTATCTGATAATGTGAATATAGATAAGGAAAACGATATAGGCTAGATGCACCCATAAACTGGAGGCAAGAAACCAGAGCAGGTAACAATGCTATGTCCTATGGAAGGCCTTTGACCTAGCCAATGTTGGTGGCATCCACCTCCTCCACCTATTCCTCTTCCTCTTTCACCATCTTCTTCACTTCCATCTCACCTCCTCCCCTTCTTCCTTTACCTTCTCCTACATCTAACCTCCTCCTCCACCTATTTCTCCTCCCCTTCTTTTACCCTCCATCTCACCTCCTTCTCAACCTTTTCCTAATCTCCGTTCTTCTTTTACCGTCTACCTCTCCACCTCCATCTCACCTCCTCTATCTATGTTATTATAACACGGCTCTGGGAGCTGTTTTTTGCCACCCCGTCAGTGGCTCATCATCCATTAACATATTTCCATTGGCCAAAATAATTTTTTTAACAGTTTTTGAATTAAAACTTTCATCATGTATTTACAATTTTAAAATTTAAACCTTCATTACGTATTTACAATTTTAATACTTTGTTATTATTTACATTTTTAAAACATGCCTTGTGAAAAAACACATGCAGCTTGTTATCACTGTAGTGCATGTGGACAGGGGCAGGCTGTAAGGATGCTGGAGGACATCGACAACGCTGAGGATTGAAAAAAAAATAAAAATATTTTATTCCCCGCCCCTAATTCTTAAAGTGACATTAAAGTCAGAATTCCCCCCGCCCCCCCTTTCCAATTCTGCTGTAGGGACTTACCTTAAATGATGTCTCTTTATTCGATAATCTTCTTCTTTCCTGTCCTTTTCAGCTGTCCCTCCAGGGCTGGTTGAGTCTCCGATCCAGCGCTGACTCCTCTGTCCTCCTCTTCTCTTGCTGTCCCACGGAGTCTGTGCCGGTGCACGCTGCTCCATAGACTTACCTTGTGTCTCTCTTCGTCTCCTTGCCGAACATCTGAAGTGCGCATGCGCCCGCCCCAAGATCCTTTGCGGCTGCCCGAGACTCTTCAGATGTTCGGACGGGAGCGCGTGATGAAGACGCAGGTAAGTTTAAAACTGTTTCAAAAGGTTTTTTTTAAAGTTTTTGCATACATCGACTGCTTGCTAGCAGTAGATACATGCAAAAAAAGTGAGGGTTTAATAACACTTTAAGGTCCCATTCAGATCTTTGTGTTCTTGTGCATGTGCATTCCTGCCAACATTATATGGTTTCTCCCCCATCAACTGACAGTTTCGTGTAACAGGTTGGCCTTTTACAGTAAAAGCAATGGATTTACTAGCAGGAATTTTTGCATTCTATCACAACCCCATCAGACTGCACGGGGGTACTCTGGCAGATTCAACAACAGGTAGATGAATATCTAACAGTAACCATTTACTATAGTATTTGCCCCCCTTTGCGGCCTACACACAAGGCCGAGGCATATGGGCATCTCCGGCATTTGGTTTTAGTTGTGTCAGACCACAGATACGTTGAGGACGAGGACCAAACTCACTATTACAGTATTGTCAAGTCTACAAGCACATGCATCTATACCAGATACCCAGTCAAGATATTAAAATTCATTTGAAGCTATTTTACAGTTTTATGGTTCACTAGGTAGGTTTTGTGCAATGTATGTACATGTATATTTTACTGTTTTAACAGTATATTTGCTTAGGCTTTTGGCTATACCATAAAAGCCCCATCCACAAACTATGGTTTGACTTCATACACTTCCTGTAGCAGACCAAGCTGTCCAGGAAAAGGTACAGTTACAGGAAGTCCCAGTTTAAGCTGCTAAATGGTCAGATCAGTTGTCAATCAAGCAACAGCGGACATGGACTGCAGAAGATTGGATGAAGGCACAACTGCCTGTAGTTCACACTGGAGGGTGACCAGGCTCCTGCAGCATTAGTAGCTTGTGTTCACCCTATTAAAGCAGGCCTTAGAAAGAAGAAAAACTGGCAGGAGGAGAAGAAACATTTACTTACACCAAAATATAAAAAAAACTTATACAACTTTAACAAGGCAAGAATGGAGCCACTGACATAACTTTAGCATTTGGGATTCGAGGAATATTGATTATTTACAATTGTAATACCATTTATGAAAACAGTATCTGGTGTGGTAACCAGATTCCTGGCGTCCAATTCTGTTGATGTCAAGCGTGAAAGATTCCATCTTTAGGATCCGATTAAAGCACACACCAATCTCTCCTTGTTCATAACTTAAGATGGAAATCACTGGTGTTTGATTGAAGTGTAGCCTTGTTGTGGAGCAGGTCACTTTAGGACTGATCTAATGTTGCAGCTGACCAGGGCTTTGGGGACTCAGACCACAGACTTATGGGGACTGAGTTCTTTGCTCAGGAAGATGCCTGCTGGACTAGACGTTATGGACTACACTTCCCAAAGTGTACTGAGAGGAGAGGGGAGTGTACTCTGACTGGAGAACATTCTTGCTTCATTTCCCGCGTGGAGAGCGGCTGAACAGAGATGTTGTGTGCAGTGAGTTGGTGGGAATGTACTAGGGATGCACAGATACTTTTCGAGTACCAGTGCAGATACTTGGCATGCTTACCGAGAACACCAAACACTGAGTCTGTCACTGAATACATTGGGACCCAACGATTATACCACTGGCCAGTTGGTTTGGTACCCGGGTAC